AATTGGGGTCCTCCGTAGGGCAGTAACTTCTCGAACCGCGAAGTATACTCCGTCAATGCCCTCTTTGCCTTCATTTCCCCACCTCTGCTTGATCAATATGAACTCTCTCTACTTGCCGAGACGGTAGGCCTCGGGCACAAAATGATCGCGGAATACCCGCACCAACTATAGTCAGGTGATGGTTGGTGGGTCCCCTCAGCTAGCTGGTTGGGTGGTCCGTATGTCGCATCTTGCAGTAGGGATACTATCACCAGTACCCTATCCTCATCATCTGCCCTCATTTCGGTCAACGTGTGCGTGACCTTTGCCACCCATTTCTCCACCTCGCTTGCATCAGTCGAGCAGTCCCCATCAAAGTCTACTACTCCTCTCCTCCGAAAAGCTATGTAATCCGGGGTTGCCGAGCTGCCGCTTGATTGACATGTGTGTTACTTGCTCTGCAAGTAAATAGTACCCTTATTAGAACCACATTTATTTTTCTTATCATGCTTGAGTATACTGGAAACTCTATAAACCTCTTCAAATCGGTTGGCCAACCATTTTTCTTGAAATTAACCTTTGAAAACTCAGATCGTCTTTCTAGTATTTCTTGTAGACCAAAAAACAGAGGAATGATGGCTCTGATACCAAAATGAAACAACCCAATTCAAACCAAAAACCGGTTACTCCGGAGTAACCCAAACCATGTTTTAAAGTCAAACCAAAAATTAACCAACGACAATAACTAGAAATATCAAACGAAAAGCCCTAAACAGTTGATCAAATCTCATTCCAAAACACTTAAATATTGAGTTTTCCAGTATACTCATAAGACACGAAATAAAGACAAATATGATAAAGGGGTCCCTTTTAGTTACCCTAAGCCTTCTAACATCTTCAAGCTTGACGCGGTTGATCTCTTTGATTAACCCCCTCGTGTTGGTTACGTCCTCTTTCCCTTTCCACACCTGATGAGTGAGAATGTTCAGTCTCGTCGTCACTTCCTAAGGTCTTTGCCTAAGCAAACCTTATTAACACATTATTAGAAATTACTTCCTCTTACATGAAATTCGTTCTCGCTTTTATCCTTAATTCTTTAATCCTTAATATTTATGGAAGTTCTCTACTTCTATCTTAACTTATATACTTATTGCTAGGGTTCACCGCGTTACGTATCGCTGTTCGGTGTCCCTATCATCAAGGCAATGGTACTGCGTTACGTATCGTCGTCCAGTCCATGGCCGATCAACTACTGCGTTACGTATCGCCGTCAAGTAGTGACAGACTATCTACCGTGTCCAGTAGTGGTCCACCCACCCGGGGGTTCATTACTTAACCTTACATCCACACACACTCATATACATACATAGTACAACGCATGCCTCCATCTTAAGTAGGCGGTGGGATGCCTCACAGACATTTTCACGCTTACTTAAAAATTAATGAACATAACTTGAAATGAAAAACATAAACTAAAGACCTCGACGGATATTTTACCCCCTTTACACTCACATAGAAAAGATGACTCCTCGATTCCTTACTCGAAGAATTCCTTCCTTAGCCAAATTATCTCGGATAACCTATTAATAAGAAATGCACTTTCTTAGACGACCTTTCTTGATTTAAAACCACTTTTGATTTACCAAAACACCCTCTCCTCAAAGTCTCATCCTTAAACCTCTTCTCAAATACCGATTAACCTCCTTTATAAATTTTCTAGAAATAATCCCTTAAACCTTCATTAAAAATTCAGATTATAATTTTCCCGTATCCGTCAAGAGATCGTATATGCTAGAAATTATCATACCCTTAAAAACGCCTCGATATGATTTTTATTTAATTAAATTAAATATTCGACCAATATCTAACAATAGTAATTCATCTTCAAAAAATCTCCAAATTGAATCAGAGCAATCTCCTGGACCTAACTCAATTTATAAAACTGTTAAACCGAGAAACAAACACCCGCTGAGGTTTGAAACAGGTAAAATAACTAAAAAATCACGTTTCTGGAAATTTCCTTTAGCTTTAGTGACCATCTAGATTCTGTCACTAATGTCCTGTAAGGTCTGTTGCTAAAAAACCTAGCTCGAAGGGGTCAAGTTCCCTTACCTGTAGACGAGCCTAGTACTAGATCGGATGGCTCGGGACGTTGATCTCCTTGTCGATGGATGTTTCAAACCCTAAAACGGCACTGTACTCACTAGAATACAAAAAACAACAAGTTTTGGATTAGACTAGAGATGAATCGAGTTTGAATCGTGAAAGGATTCGTGATCCTTACCTAGGGACGTGAGGGGGATGAGGTCGCTAGGGAACTTGCCTTCTTCTTCCTCTTTCTTTCTTTCTTTCTTTCTTTCTTTCTCTGCTGCTGCTGGGAATTGAGATGGGGGATATGGGTTTAATGGGAGGGGAAATGAGTTGTTTATGATTGGTGGTAATGGGGTGTGATGGTAACGTGTGGGAAGTAGAGAGGCCGAGGGAGAAGCAATGGGGTAACGGATGCTGGGCTTTTTTTTAATTCATTCATCCTTAATTAACATAAAACGGTATTATTTTATCCAGTTCCGAACCAACCTGATTATTGGTCGGACCTAAACCCAGAAATTCGGGGTGTTATATTAAATTTTGTGTCTGATGAGAATTTCTTATTACGACTGCTTCTTTATTCCAGAAACTCCAGCAATCAAAATTCGAACCAATTCTACATGGAGGGACGATAGAGATTTGAGAAAGTGATTTCGAAGAAAAATGATGGTGGAGAGAAAAGTAAAAAATTGGAGAAAGAAAATTCTAGCCTAATCCATTAGCACCTAAAGCTCATGGGCTGAAACCGAATGAGAAGCAAGCAAGTGCAGCCCATGCGCTCAAGAAAAAGAAAATGGGACTGAGCACACTAATTAAGGGCTAATACCACTAGAAAACCCGAAGTATTAACTTTGTGTCATATGTGTCCTAAAGTATCTTATATGGCATTTGTGTCCCAAACTATTTTTCCGTTATAGTTGACTTGCGTTAACCGTTAATTTTTAACAGAAACTTTAGTCAGCATCGATGTGGCATCTGACGTGGAATTTATAATATCAATTTATAATTATTTTTCATATAAATGAATAAACTAAAACAAAAACAAAATTACAAAAAAAAACTCCTCCCAGCTCCCAACTTCTTCCTCTTCTCTCGCCCTCAATATCTCCACCGCCGCGATGCCTTTCCCTCTCACCCCTCCACTGTCGCAGCGGCACCTCCTCCCCTCCTCCGCCGCCTTTACCCACCGTTCCCTCCTCCTCTCCACCTCACTCTCCACCATCACACCTCCGCCTCCGTCGCCCCCCCGACACCACAGTGATCGACAACGCGATTCCCAGGCGCTGCCGTCGTGGAGAACCCAGCAACGCGATTCCCGATTCCGTCGTCACTCTCCCTCTCTTTGCCCAATTGGTTTCTCCACCACCAACGGGATCCACTGCTCCAACTGTCGACTTCACCGGTGGCGGGCAATTCTTCCTTTCGGGAAGGCAGGGGAGGAGGGAATTGGGCGAGGTCAGACCCCCCGCCGAATCGCCGAGGAACGTCGAAGCTGTCGATCCCAAGGCGTTTCGGCTCGCACACTCGACGAGATGTTCGAGATGCTCGGTGGGTTGATCCAGCGAGCTTCTTTGCTTGTCTCTGGAGATCCCCAGGTGGAGAAACCGGTCGGATCTGAGGGGAGTGGGGAGTGGGGAGAGGAAGGAGAGTAGGAAGAAGAAGAAGGGATGAGAGATGTTGAGAGAGGAGAGCTTTTTTTCTTTTATTTTATTGAATTTTTTAAGTGACATAAAAAGATAATTAAAAATTAGGTTTAATCATTTTTATAACAATATATTTTTAATGTTTAATTTAATTTTTAATTAAAAATATGAGGTGTCACTGACGTGGCGTCTACGTGGCTGCCACGTCAACAAAAGTCAATGTTAATGTTGACTTCCGTTTGGTCAACCGTTATATATAACGGTCAACAAAATCGTCAGGACATAAATGACACAAAACTATAATAGGTTAGGACACAAATATCATATCGGATACTTTAGGACACAAATGACACAAAGTTAATAGTTTGGGTTTCCTAGTGGCATTAACCCCTAATTAATTGCTCACTTTATATGTATATATATTAACTAGCTTTGACCACCGGAAAGTAAATTTTAAAATTATAATTTAGTTTGTATTTTACGAAAATGTTTTAACACAAATGATTGTTGTGTATAATGATAGTACAAAATTAAACTTTTGAATATCTTAGTAACTCTATAGAATACCAAACGTGTCCCGTAAACTATGATAGTAAATGACTCATTCGTGTATGGTGGTATTTAATTAAATGATATTGATATAGTTTCGTAATTGTTGGATAAGAGCATGAATAGCTCTTGTGTGTATTCGTTGTCTTGTAGTTTATTTTGTTGTTATTAATACTTGATGTGGTATGAGATTTGATAAAAAGGATAATTTTGAATAAAAATCTTTCAAATATTTTTGTATGAATTTTTAAAATGATGGATATTTTTTTTTTTTTTTGGTTGACAACCAATACTAACCGCTGAACTTTTCATCGTAGTGCTCTATTGCTTTGGCTGGTCTGGATGTCATATCTTTGACTTGCATTGTTAGCAAAAAAAATCAATAATAATCTCGTTTTCATCCTCATAGCATTGTAGAATCGTCTATTTTAGTATCAATTTGTTTAACACTTTACGTACTAAATACATATGAAACACTTATACACATATTCTAAGGAATTGAATTGATAATTTAATGATTTCATATACTTTCACTTTGAACATATTTCTAATATTTTGTAACTTATGTCAAAACTTTAAAGCGTATTATTATGTTAAAATGACATACAAAACTCCATAGGTATCAATAGTCCTATGTGAACAGTGCTTTCAAATACGCCATCCTCATGGATTGTTTTTGAAGTGTAAGAATGAATTTTGCGTTGATAAAATCGTGTGTCATACCCATCGAAATTCTCTGAAATGCTCTCGACGCCGGCGAACGGATCCCCCCCTCCGACAACAACTATTTTTCCCTCTGGACGACCTCCGGACACATCTCCGCCAGGGGGAGCCACAGCAACGACACAAAATTCTCAGGAGATGTCGGCAGAAACCAACTCGAATGCGATGATGGTCGATACCACCCCCTCAAATCAACCTGACATAAGGCCGCCGCTGACGAACAATCAACAACCCTTCTCCTATGCGAAGGCCGTTGCAGGGCTTCCTATCGTGCCAGTCCAGCAGACAGGATCCACTTTGTGGACCCCCGTTGGTGAACACGACCTGATTCCGGGTGAGCGCAACGGTGAGCTAGCACTCAATATCTCGAGTAATTTCAAGAACCGGATCTGCGACCCCTGGAAGCGTACGCTGGTGGTTCGACTCCTTGGACTGAAGGTGGGCTTCAATACTCTTTGCAACCGCTTACGTGCGCTGTGGAGACCAGTTGGGCATATGGAAGTGTTAGATTTAGATCGTGACTGCTTCTTGGTCAAGCTGGGTAACGAGCAGGATTACTTTAAGGCTCTCACGGATGGTCCGTGGATGATTTTCGATCACTACTTAGTGGTGCAGCAATGGACACCAGCCTTCAAGGTCTCCGATCCTCTTCCCAAAACCATGATCGTATGGGTTCAGTTACCAGCACTCAAGATTCACTTCTACCACAAGGAGGTACTGACTTTTTTGGGCAACTTGATCGGACGCACAATTAAGCTTGATTACCACACACTGAACCTTCAAAGAGCAAAGTTCGCGAGGATAGCGGTTGAAGTGGATCTGTCCAAGCATCTGGTTCCAAGAATATGGTTGGATGACGCTTGGCAGAAAGTGGAGTATGAAAACTTGCCAACAGTTTGTTTCGAGTGTGGGAAGATCGGCCACACTTCGGCCTCGTGTCCTTCTCTCCGAACAGCGGTCACCGTTCTGCCTGCCACACAACCACCTTCCGGCGAACCGTTGGCATCCCCCACCGATGTGCTCTCGGAGCCAAATTCCGGATTTGGGCCGTGGATGGTGGTCTCGCGCAAATCCAGGCGGAACAACAAGGAAAGCCTGAAAAAAGGAAAGAATGGAATGGATCACTCAAATCAGAATCACAGCAGTCAAGGCCTGATGGGGAAAGAGAGCATCCCACGCAAGGAAGGTGGGGATCACTTACCTTCTTTGTCTATTTTGAAGAATCCCCTGAATCAGCCGCAAGCAGCAACGGATAGAAAAAGTGGCAATGGAAAGAAGGTTGGAGAGGAAACGAGGAAAGGAAAGGAGAAAGTGACTTTTAATGAGCAACCAGCAAGGAAAGGCCTACTAGGGGCGGGGCCAAACACGAAACATACTCCGAGTGGACCAAAAGCCCAGCACAACCCAAATCAAGCATCCACTTCCGTGGACTCCAATGCGGAAAGCCCCCTGCTGGATGGGGCTGCTGCTGGGAAAAACGGACTACTCAGCCCGATAAGCTCTCCACCTGTCACTCAATCGTTTACCGGGCCCAATGGCACGCAGATGCAGATAATCCAATTGAGCCCCAGCAGCCCAAAAACGAACACCACGCCTTCAACTGACCGAAAGAAGTCGAAAAAGCAAAAGTCGCCCTCCCTGCGCAAATCGCCGATGAAGGTTTCCACGGCCGCCAGGAGAAACTCACCGGCAAAACTCCATCAACTCAAGCCTCTAAAAATATGGTCGCCAGTGAAAGATAGAAATTCAAAAACCAAAACCCGCTCGGCTTCCCTCACTCTCCAAGAGATCCAAGCGTGGACGGAGAACACGAACAAGGCCATCCCCTGCCAGAACGCGGAAGTGATGACCGCGGAGATGAACGAGGAGACGACAAAGCTCAATAATTTGGGGGAGACACAACCCCTAACCTGATTGGACTTCTTTCTCTCCTTTGATCCCTACCCCTTCTTCTCTTTTTTGTTTATTTATCTGATGTCGTGCAACTCTAATTTCAAAATTTTTTCCTGGAATGTTGGTGGTGCAGGTAGCAGAGCTTTTTCCAGGGCTTTGAAACTTGCGATTCAAGAGCACAAGCCTGACCTAGTGATTCTTCTGGAACCCCAAATCAGCGGGAGTGCTGCAAACTCAGTCTGTGACAAGCTGGGTTTCTCTAACGCGATCCGAGTGGAGGCTGATGGCAGGAAAGGAGGCATTTGGATCTTCTGGGACGCCACCAAGCTTGATTCGCATCTGGTTTCAGGCTGCAATCAGCATATAACCCTCCAAGTTTCTCGCAGAAATGAAGATCCTCGGATGGTGACTGCTGTCTATGCCTCCCCCAGACCTAGCGAGCAGAGGGAGCTGTGGGCTAACCTCTTCCTTCAAAGCTCGTCTATGGGGGTGCCTTGGATCCTAACCGGGGACTTCAATGCCATTCGGTCTCCTGAGGAGAAGTCGGGGGATCCCTCAGCGTCAACCATGAGGCGTTGTCAAGTCTTCAACGATCGGATTAATCAAGCAGAACTGATTGACCTCGGCTTCTCCGGCCCTCGGTACACTTGGACCAGGGGTGCTCAAAACCACTCGCACAAAGCAAGCCGTATTGATCGTAGCCTCTGCAACCCTCTTTGGAATGAGACCTACCCCAACACCTCTGTCATCCACCTTCCTCGACTGCAGTCTGATCATTGCCCGATCCTAACTGTTGTGGCTAACCAGGGGCCGTCCACTTCTTCCACCAGTCCTTTTAAATTGGAGGCGGCGTGGTTCACTCACGATAATTTTATGGATTTTGTTGCAGGGAGCTGGGACCCTTCTTCACATTTCACTTCCTCTATTCAGCAGCTGACGGGGGCACTGAAAGAATGGAGTGCTAATGTCTTCGGCAGCATTCATAAAAGGAAAAGGAGGCTTCTTGGGAGAATTAAAGGAGTGGAAGTGCGGATGAGCAACGTTTTTTCCCCAGCCCTTGCCAAACTTCACTCAAAGTTGGTAGCTGAGCTGGACAAAGTTCTTGAGCAAGAAGAATTGTTTTGGTTCCAACGAGCAAGGGAGAATTGGGTGAAATTTGGAGAGCACAACACTGCCTACTTCCACCATAAAGCTCGCATTAGAAGACGCAACAGCAAGATCGAGGCCCTCCAGGACTCTCATGGCAAGTGGGTAGTCGAACCTCAAGCTCTTGCTAATTTGGTCTTCGATTTCATCTCTAACCTGTACATGCAGGATAATTCAGACTATGAGGACAGACTTCCAAAAGGAGCTTTTCCCAGACTTACCCAGGCAGAGATGATAACGCTACTCAGGCCCTTCACCATTATGGACATCCACAAAGCAATTTTCGAGATGAAACCTTTCCAAGCGCCAGGACCGGACGGCTTTCATGCAGCTTTCTACCAACATGCTTGGCATTTGGTCGGAAAAAGCTTGACGGAGATGGCCCTATCCTTCTTTTCCACTGGCCAGCTTCCTGAGGAAGTCTCAGCCTCCACTGTGGTGCTAATTCCGAAGGTGGAAAGACCCGAGCTGGTCTCTCAGCTAAGACCGATATCCCTCAACAACGTCAGTCTCAAAGCCATCACCAAAGCTATGGCCAGCCGTCTGAAACCCTTTATGAGGAAATTGGTTTCTCCGAGACAGAGCAGTTTCATTCCGGGGCATCAAACCACTGATAATGTCATAGTAGTTCATGAGATTCTGCATTCTTTGAGAAAGAAGAGGGGGAAGAAAGGGAGTCTGATTCTTAAGATAGACCTTGAGAAGGCGTATGACATGCTCAGATGGGACTTCTTGCGGGATACTCTTCAGGAAATCGGATTACCCAGCTCCTGGATTAACTCCATCATGTACTGCGTGGAGCAGAACAAAATGCGCATCCTTTGGAATGGCGAGCTATCTCAGCCCATTTCCCCCACCAGAGGCGTCAGACAGGGAGATCCTCTCTCACCTTATCTTTTTGTTTTGTGTATGGAACGCCTTTCCCATAAGATTGACGAGGCTGTGAACTGCAGGAAATGGAAACCGATTAGACTATCTAAGGATGGACCCTCACTCACCCACCTCTTTTTTGCAGACGATCTCCTTCTTTTTGCAGAGGCAGAGACAAGACAAATCCAGACTATAAAGCTGTGCTTGGAAGATTTCTGTTACAGTTCGGGGCAGCGAGTGAACTTTGCAAAATCAGTTATTTATGTCTCTCCCAATATTGATAGGCACAAAGCTCAACGTCTGAGTCGGGTGGCGGGCATGACTCTGAAGCCAGCGCTGGGGAAGTATCTAGGCATCGAGGGCATCCATGGTCGGGTGTACAAGTCAAGATACCAAGGCCTCATTCTCCGCATCAAGAAAAGCCTGGCCCCTTGGATGGCTAAGAAACTTTCTTTTGCAGCTCGTTTGACTGTTGCTAGATCTGTTTCTTCTTCCATTCCTACTTACAGTATGAACACTGAGTTAATTCCTAGTGCAGTATGTAAGTGCATCGACAAGATTAACAGGGACTTCATCTGGAATGAAGAAGATGACAAAGGCAAAATGCATACGATTGCATGGGAAAACATGACCCGCCCCAAACAACAAGGAGGGGCAGGCTTGAGATCGACGAGGCAAGCTAATTTGGCTATGCTAGCTAAGGGTGGGTGGAGACTCCTCAAAGAAAAAGATAGTCTGTGGACTCAACTTATGCAATCGAAGTATGGCAAGCAAAGACAGGGCCTCGATATGCTCCGCCACATTCAGGGAAGTTCCTTCACCTGGAATAGCTTTTCAAAAGCAGCTTGTCTGCTCAGGAAAGGCTGCGCTTGGAACATTAAGAATGGAAAGAACACTAAATTTTGGCTGGATGTCTGGGTTTTGCAGGTTCCGCTCAAGGAGGTTGTCACAGGATCAATCCCGGCGGATATGGAGCACGCCCCCGTGGCTGAGTTCGTTAACAGTGATGGGGAGTGGATAACGGACAAGTTCAAGGACCTACTTCCAACCGATGTCACAGCCAGGATTATCAGTGTTGCGGTGGACAAGCTTTCGAATGAGGAGGATACTATTTTTTGGAAGGCCACATCTGATGGCAATTTCTCGGTGAAATCGGCGTACTCGGTGCTCAATGACCACCATCCCGACCCAGACGAGCGCACTTGGAAGACTATTTGGACTCTCCCGGTTCAGGAGCGCATTAGAGCTTTCATGTGGATGGCGACTAAGGGAAAACTCGCCACCAATTCTCTCAGGTATGCTCGTTTGGTGACTGACAATCCTTGCTGCAGCAGGTGTGATGGACAGCCGGAAACAGTCCTCCACATCCTCCGCGATTGTCCACCGGCTCGGTACCTCTGGACTCGGCAGGTTCCCACTCAAAGACAGAATGCTTTTTTCAGTAGTAATCAAGCAACTTGGTTCCGGGACAATCTCTTCTGCAGCGACTCTTTGGATACAGGAATGTGCTGGGCAGCCTACTTCAGTACCGCGGCGTGGCTCCTCTGGAAGAATAGATGTACCTATGTTTTCAAAGGAGCTGGTGCGGCCCTCTCGCCTTCGTCGCTATCCCACTCCATAACAGCGAGATGCAAGCTGTGGCACGAGGCCTGGGAGGCCCCCTCCCGCTTGCCAGGGGGAAGGAAGGGCGCGACAGCTAGAGAGACGGCTCTAATCGGATGGAAACCTCCCCAAGCAGGTTGGAGAACCCTCAATATTGATGGAGCGTCAAATGGGAATCCAGGCCCAGCTGGGGCAGGTGGTGTTATTCGAGACTCCTCTGGTCAATGGGTCTCCGGTTTTGTCGCGAACATTGGAACGGCTTCGGCAGCGCTTGCTGAGCTCTGGGCCTTTTCTTATGGCCTTGACCTCGCTTGGAACACTGGTTGCAGGTACTTGAAGGTGGAGTCTGACTCCCGCTTGGCTATTCAACTGAGCTCCAGCAGACATGACCCGGTGCACCCCTATGCCACCCTTCTTTCGGCAATCCGGAGGAAGTTAAGCCATGACTGGCTGGTTAGCATCACTCATACGTATCGAGAAGGGAATAGAGTCGCGGACTGGCTCTCGAAGCACAGTCTCGTCTATCCCTACGGTACGCATGAGCTTGCAAACCCGCCTCCAGGCTTATCTCGCATTCTTTGGGAAGACAATATAGGAACCACTTTTGAGCGGCGTGTAGTCACGCACCTAGACCCTTTGTCTTAGCTTCCCCCTGTAACCTTCTGTTTCTTGGCCTTGGCCTCCCTTTTCGCAAAAAAAAAAAAAAATCAATAGTCCTATGTATGATTTGGCCAAAAAAATTGGTGTAATATTATATGCTATTGCCCATATATTAGATGAAATTTGATATAATTTATAAATGTAAATAATTTAATGACTTTTTTCATATAGCCAAGTTAAATTGGACTAAACTTATCAGACCATTAACCCTCAAACTATTTACTCGACCGACTCAATAGGCTAAACCAGATTGACAACCTTTCTCTTGACAGTTTCTTATTTGAAGAAGTCAATCAATATTTATAGTTAGAAATATGGTATTCACAATGTTATAAGAAATTTTATCGTACTTACGGGTGAGACCAAAAATATCGAATACTGGACATCAAATGAATTTACACTCTGCATATATCTGTGAATATCATAATTGGCACCGTCCTTATCAAAAAATCATAATTGGCACCGTACAATTCCTTATGTACCAAAAGTTGCCTTTCACATAGACGCCGACCAAGCCAAAGACCAACTACCAGATAAAATCAATTATTGTATGTTCAGTAATTGTGAAAATTGATCTACAAATAAGGACAAAGGCAAAGTAGAAATGGATCATCCGACAAATCAGGCCCAAGAGGTTTAAGATTAGTTCATTTCTTAGTGAACAATAATTGTGGTTTGTATTTATATATATGAATATTAATTAATAAGTAAGCATCATGTGGTCGCTTTGTCTAACAAGTGTGCTAATTATCTGCCTACGAGTAGAAACCAATTTATCACATAATAGTTATAACATTATCTACTATATTATCTTATAATGGAAATGTGTTTTAAAAAAGGTATAGAAAGCAAATTGAACTCCAAATTTGACATTATTCGGGGATTGGCTTAAGTATTAAGGACAGTCCAGCCAGTGCTGGTCTCTGCTAGCTGTCTCCGGTAGGAATCCTACCACAAAGGCTGTCATGAAGCCCTTCTTCTTTTTTTTTTCTTTTTCTTGTGCGGGTCGGATGAAAAAGGACAAAGGTTTAGCAAAATCCACACCCGACCTCACCTGCCAATTACAAAGGGGTAAAACTCGCTCACGACAAAAGATCGTCAACACCATATTCAACTCGCTTTGACTGGTTCATTTTTTTAGGTGCGGGTCGAATGGAAAGCGGACATAATTTTTAACAAAGTCAAAACACGACCAAACCCACCTATTACAAAGACGGGTAAAACTCGCTTTAGACCCAAAACTCGTCAACACCGTTCAACTCACTTTGATCGGCCAAATAGCTTAAATACCATTGAGCTGGGTTCAATTGTTATAAATGAAACCAGAAAAAAAATCAATTGCTCAAAAATTTTAACTATGTGGGCCGAGTTTTAATGAAATTTATAACCAACCTAACCTGTTAGTTACAAAAGCATGTAAAAATCATTCCCGGACCAAAATTCGTCAACACCAGATTCAATCCGCTTTGACCTAGTCATTTGTTTTGTTTTTTAGGTGCAGGTAGGATGAAAAGCAGACTAAGTTTTTAACCAAATTCACATCCGACCCAACGCATCAATTACAAAAATGGGTTAAACTCGCTCCCGTCACAAAACCCGACATCGAATTCAAGTCACGTTTACCGAATCAAATTATGTTGAATAGTTGAATTCGTTTTTCATAAAATGAAATACAATGAATGTTTAAATGCAACTTAAATCGGGTTAATTGCAAGATTAGTCACTCGGTTTACTAAAATCGTTTATGTTTGGTCACTGAAAATATTTAATTCCATTCGTGATCACTAAGATTAGTCAAACATGTCAAATTTGGTTACTCTCCATCCAGCTCCGTTAACTTTGTATGATGTGACAGTCAACTTTCAAAGTTGACCGTTAACTAAATGACGTTACAATTAAAAAATAATAAATAAAATAAGATTTAATCATTTATAATTTCCAACTCATTTTCACAATAAAATAAAATAAATAAAACAGAAAAAATTATTAGAATTTCCAATGGCGAGCTGTACAGCCGCGTCGGGTTCACCTCCGACGACAAACCCAACGCCGGCACCCCAACCACCACCGCGCCGCCGCTTTGAAGCAACCCGTCGATGCATGTTTGCTGGTTGGTCACCGTAACGCTGAGCAGAGTTGTGATGATGATATGCTACAAAGTTCAAAAGATCCTCTGTTTTTTACTGCAATATTCAAACGCCACCATCTCAATCTCCCTCACCGGCCTCTTCCCATTACTCCCACATTGACTCAATTAATTTACTTCTTGTGTTTCTTTGGGCTTTATTGGTTATTGAAGATGAGGAGAAACATCAGCGGAGGTGATGAGTTGCTTTTAGAGGCGATATATCATTACCTTACATTATATTAGATTGGATACTTGTTGTATTGTATATAAAGAGACGAAGGAAGTAGGGATGACAATGGGTCGGGTTGGAGCGGGTTTTGTCAAACCCAAACCCATGGGTTTACACCCGTCGGGTATCCGCGGGTTCATGGGTACCCGTGGGTTTTTGTGGTAAAAAATTTACAATAACAAGTTTCTTTCAAAATAAAAGTTTAACATCAATTTTTTCATACAAATTAATCATACAAAAAATACCAATCTAGAGCATACAAGCAAACCAAAAATGATCAATACAAATTGTTCAAAATTAAAGATAAACATCTATAAACAATAAGATTAATTGAAAACTTCTTCCTCGTCAACTAAGTTTCTTCACTCTCCACTTCATCATATCAACTTCATTCTAAACAATTAGAAAGAACAAATTATACATGTCTCCACAAACATAAAGAATATTAGTTGTTTAAGGGAGATATATTATTTAGAATATTAAAATATACCGTAAAAGTAATTATATGTGTGTGGGCGGGTACCCATTGGGCGGGTTTACCTAAACCCAAACTCAACCCGACCCGGTGAATAGTGTAGCGGGTTTAAACTCGAACCGGCCCAAAACCCGTCAACATGGATTTTACCCGTGTTGACCGGGTTAGGTCGGGTGGGTACCCGTGGGTTCGAGTTTTGTTGCCATAGGAAGGAAGTCATGAATGATGAGTGTTCATTCTCCTTCACTAAGTGGGGAGGGAGAGTGAGGTTATGATTTCTACACCTTCACATTCCATTAAGATAGAGATAGAGAGATGGGAATCAGACACCTTCACATTCCGCTGCTGCCGTTGCTGCTGCCTGGCGGTGGATCTCTGTAAGCGGACAATGTTGTCGGATTTCAAGCCCTTCTCCTTCACGAACTCCACCCTTTCGTCAGCACGTAGCTCTGGCTACTGTTCTAGTACGAGTACCAGAACCGCCACACTTTCCCCGCCGCATCCTCAAAATTCAGCAGTCTGCTGCTCAAACCGACGCTACCGCCGCTTTGCAACAGGAAATGCTTCTCGGCGTGCTGCTTCGGGATCATAAGTCGGTCCGATCCGACATTGTGACCGTTGGAATTGAGCCTGATCCTCTGTTTCCCCTGCCCTTTCCGACGGCTCTGCTCTTGCTCGTCATCTTAGGTTTGCTTCCGCAGCATGTCGACGATCTCGACATTGGTAATTCTAATAATTTTTTCAGTTTTACTTATTTTATTTTATTATGAAATTGAGTTGGAAATTATAAAAGATTAAAATTTATTTTATTTACTATTTTTAATTGCCACGTCATGCAGTTAGCGGTCAACTTTGAAAGTTGACTGTCACATCAGACAAAGTTAACGGAGTTGGACGGATAATGACCAAATTTGAAATGTTTGACTAATCTTAGTGACCACGAATGAAATTAAATATTTTTAGTAACCAAATATGAACGTTTTTAGTAAACCCAGTGACCAACCTTGCAATTAACCCAACTTAAATTTGATTAATTAATAAACTGTTCCAGATTGTTGGAAAGGGGCTGGATCTTGTACCAGCCCAATTCAAGTTTACTTACTGGACGGCCCATTGGAACTTGGGCCCCCACCCCAAGTGACCAAGATAGAAAAGGAGAAATCAAATTCGCTGGAGAACCCTAAAATATTTCCATTTTTCCAGTAGTTTCCGCATTTTCAGCGCTCCCCCAACTTCCCAGTTACGCAGGAAAACGAAGGTAAGAATTCCTTTTTCTTTCCTTTTCTCATCCTCACTTTCCCGGAAAATTCACCCCCAAACGATTCCATTTTGCTTAGCCGCCGCCTCTGTTAAACCTTCTGCTTCTTCAGTTCTTCCTCTCGGCTTGATTGTTTCTCGGGAAAACTCAATTTCCGTCATAGAAGTAATCAATTCAATCCAGCGTCGTCTTCGTTTTCTCTTCTCCGCGATTTCAATTTTTCTGATTCTTTCGTTTCTTCATTCCTTGGGGTTAATTTTAGGGTTTGATTGATGGCGGATACTGATACTAATGGTGCTACTACGACTGAGGAGGATCGTGAGGTGGAGATCTTCTCGACCCCCGACCACCGCGGCGACGGCGACGCCAAGTTGAAGCAGAAGATTGAAGCTCTGGAGCTTCAGAACGGGTCGCTGGTGCAGGAGAACGATGAATTCAAGGACCAGGTCGCGAAGTTGCAAGCGGAGATGGAATCACTGAAATCGGAGGAATCGGAGATGATGCAGAGGCTGGAAGAGTTGGAGAGCGAGCTTGAGCAGTCGGAAGAGACCAAAAACACGCTGGATTCGATAGCTGCTCGGGCCGGGGATCTGGAGATCGAGGTCTCGAGGCTCCAGCACGATCTGATTACGTCGATGGGCCAAGGTGAGGATTACGCTACCGAGGTTGCTGAACTGAAGAAGGTGCTGGGAGACATGGAGGTGAAACTGGACGAGGCAAAGAAACAGAAGGCAGAGAACGAGAAGAGAGTGAGGGAATTGGAGAGGAAAGTTGGGGTTCTTGAGGTGAAGGAAACCGAGGAGAAGAGTAAGAAGATTAGGTTGGAAGAGGAGACCAGGGACAGACTTGCTGAGAAGGAGAAGGAGCTGGTGAAGTACAAGAAGCGAGTGGAGGAGTTGGAGAACGAGTTGGCCAAGAAGGCCGAACTGGAAGAGAAGCTTAGGGTTTCAGAGAGCAGGACCAGGGAAGTGGAAATGAGGATGGTGGAGCTGCAGAAAGAGGCTGAAGATGCCGAGAAAGTGATTGTAGCGCTGAAACAGAAAGCTGTCGAAACCGTGAATGGGTTCGAGACAGATGGTAGAGAGGATAAAGAAGAGTTTGTGGAGTGGCCAGCTACGGCGGTGGTCATTGGATCAACAGGCGCTATTGTTGTTGCTGCAGCTGCTGTGGCCTATTTCATCTACGCAAGGAGGCATTGATCATCCATTTTCTTGGAGGTTAGGTTTGTGGTATCTCTGTTAATTCAAGCTACTCTATTGAAATGGGTAGAAAAAGCTAGCTTTACAGTTTTGTGCATTGGTCTTTGGTTTCTATGTGCTTGTTAGTATATTGGGTTGGATGGCTACACTAGTTTGGTGTTTGCACTGCGAAGGGGTTTTGATGGTCGCAATCTTTAGCTTACTTGTTTTACTGTCCCTGTTGGGACAACTGCAAAGATTTTCCCATGTAGTTTGAAGAATTGAGATTCTAGGGTTTGTTCAATGCCCGTGCAGGTTATCCTTGCCATTCCTGTATTAGAAGATAGTTGATATTGTGAAGTATTATCTTCTGAATAGTAACTCAGTGTTTCACCATTGTTTTTGGCTTGGCTCGTGCTGTTGGAAGGAACCAAATAATGCATTCATTCCATTTCGTTCTGTTCTGATTAATTGGAATGTTGAACTTTTGAGTTGTGGAAGTTTTCATGTTGAAGGATCATGGTCAGTTTGATGTTCAACGAATTGGATAATCGATGAGTCGGTTTCTTTAGTAATCGATGTACTAGAAACGGATAAATGATATCGTTACAATGAAATTTTGAATGCGCAGTCGAGGTATTGCACATTTCTTGTTCCCAGTGCAACTCTCGTGTTAGCTTACCTATAGTTCCTTCAGCTTCTTCTGTACAGTTGCAACTGAAGGACGTTTGTACCTCATTGACACCGATCTCAAACAAGGACACCAGATGCTGCCTCATTAATCTTGGTGTCTCCATTGCTCCCACTGCTCCATTTTCGCCGTGTTCTCTCCCCTCAGTGCAGTGCTTTAATCGAAGGTCGTGTATCCGAGCTTCTTCATCTCAATAGTGTCAGAAATCTCATATGCGTTCGAGGCCTAGATGCTTATACCATCTCAAGCTCTCCACTCATGGAGTCTCTAGAGCCGAGCAAACTTGTGCTGTATTGTTGTTGATGTTGGAAGATCCACGGATGAAGGCAGAGTTTGGTTTGCTGCATCTACTCTCCGTGTGTTTTATTTATTAGCTTATACCCCGTTGGCCAGAATGTTTATTTGTGTTGAGCGACTTTTAATTGAGAAACTGAGAAAATAGTAAAGTTCGTTCAAACCTGGAAAAGAGTGGTTCGATTGGAATGACCAATTTTCAGTACATGAATAAAATGATATCCTTTTGGTTGACTTAATTAAGAAAAAGAAAATAATTTGTTAGATTAAAGTATCAGCATTTTGTTGTTGATGTTATTTTTTGTATTCTAAGTGTTAAATGTTGCATTTAAATATTTTATTTTGATATTTGTATATAATAAAATATTTTATTTAATTATGAATGTTGATTATATATTGATCGTTTAAAAATAGATTATATAAATATGCACGATTCGTCTAGTGTCAATGGCTTCTCACTTCCCTCATGTGTTTTATTAAAATCGACATAAATCGGTTATACTCCAATCAAACTATAACACTTACGGAACCGACATAACAATTTAAATCAGTTTGACTAACTTCGCATAAGCTCATTTATCCACAAATGCTCTTCACGTATGAGAGTTTATGGAAAATGATATGCTCCTCTTTATTGCTTCATAGTCTCTTTTAATAGAGGACTGAAATCCAAAACCAAAAGTGGGATTTACAGCATGATATCCCAAATCATGATCCCACCAGCAATTATGGAGAGAAGATCTCCTTTATTTGAAAAACAATAAAATCATAGCCAACTAATCGTACCAGTTACCATCAATGAATAAAACAAGCAAAGCCTAACTGAATTACTTCCTAAGCAAAGCATCAGTTCCTAAGTTGTGCATCGGTTTAATCCTAGCGTTGTGCATGGGTTTCATCCTAGCATGTGACAGGTTATCAGTATCGTTGATCTAATCTAATGGTGTTTATTAATTCCAATTAAATTATTTAATGATGTTTATTAATAAACATCGTTAGATTAGATCAACGGTACTGATAACCTGTCACATGCTATGCGTCAGGAGCATACGAGACATGTTTCTGACATGTTTCTGACCACATCCCATCTACACGTTGTGGGAACAATTTAATGCGGACAGATCTTCAGTTGCAGCCCAAGTCTTCAGGTTCATCTCGTGGCTTTGACAAGTTTGAGAACAAACCATTATAGTGAGAGAGGGGTGACTATGATACTCCCCGTGGTAATCAAACTGAAATTGTTCTACTTACTGAGGATAGAAACTGGGGTTTTGGAAAGGAATATCCTGCTTTTGGAAGAGATTGGACTCCTAGGCCAAAAGAAAATGGTATGAGCTGCCGTGGACATTTTTAGAGAAATATGGTCCCGAAATTGAGAGAGAAACAGGATTTTGGAATTAAGGTTACCTAGATGATAGCTTTGATAGAACTACTTGAAATTGATTTCAGTTTTCGCCAATGGATTTGAAAGTTGTGTTAAGCTTGTCGAGACAACAAAGGTTGGATTTTTGTTTCAGCTTCTAATAACACTTGGTCATTTGGATACTGCTAGAGATTCTGGGAAGGATGGTGATGCTTAACTTGTGCAGTTTTGCTTGATCTAGAGAAGGATGCTATTATGTTAAGGCTTGATCTAAATGGGATTAATTGTTCATGTTTGTAAAGGGAATGTAGGATATGCACTGGATGAGGTTACTCGTTAGGGTGATAGAGTTCTTCTGCAGTGGTTTATACATCTCTAGCTCAGGGAGCAATTTGTTCAGCAACAGACATCGTTTGCACCTTGCAGGTATGAGTATTCTTCTATTCTCTTGAGAGAAAAATAACTAGTGGCCTCAAACATAAAAATGATACATCTTCTATATGACAGGTGCTCAGTCAGGAAGACACGCCTTTACTGTATAGTTTAGTGTTCAGGGAAGTGGTGGTCAATGATGCCACATCTGTTGTTATTTTCATCCACAGGTATTTTGGGATGGTTGAGCTTGAGCAGATGCTTTTTGTTTTGTTTTAGTAATTAGCTTGCTCGTGCTTAAGTTGGTAAAATCACAAGGAATTTCAAGCATTACACACTTTAAACTGGGAAATTAGAACTTTTTCTGTTCCGCAAAATCATTGTAGAGTACCTTGTTATCTCTTTTTTTTGGAATAAGGATTATGTCAAGAAAGTCCTGTAAAACTTAGGTTATGTTAGTTCAATTATGTTACCTCCTTTACGATTTTCTCTTCTACTTCAATTATGTTAGTTCTGATCCATTGTTTCCAAGGTTTCTTTTTGCTATTATTGCTGATGGTTGTTTGTATGACAATTGAAATTAGGGACAAGAGGCTGGCTAAAGTTATCGATGCTGAAGTAGACCAAAAATCAGAAAATATTGTACACAACGCAAGGTTTGACTAGCTTAAGTGTTTGTTTATTTTTTCTCCCTTCATTATCTACACGCCTTCTTTATTAGTGTTTCGTGTTTTTTTATTTATTTTACACATGGTTTGACGGAATGGGTCCTGCAACCTTACAAGGAGGAGGCTTGAGTTTAGAGACCGCAATGCGACAGATTTCTGATGTCATTATCATCTATGATGATGAGCCTAATGTAACAACCATTTCTAATGTCATTATCATTTTTGTTGTTGAAGGTCATTTCAATGTATGCAAGTCATCTTAACATGTCTGTTTTTTTAGATATTTTTGGAGGCACGTTTACTTCATTTACTACATTAAATTGAAAGAGTTGCCACCTGTGAGAGCGAGTTGTAAAAGAGAGCAACTTGCTACCGCAGAGGAAGTGTATAAGCTTTTGCCACACCACGATGGTTGACAAAATTGCACAATCATCTGATTGTACAGAAGAAAATATACATATAGTTTCTAATCTCACTTGCATCAGTGTACATTTTATGTTTCCTCTGCTGTCTCTTTTACTCTTGATGTCTTCATGCTTAATGCACCAACTTAATGATTTTATTTAGTTGTTCAATCCTGGAGAAGTCCGTCGAAAAAAGCAAAATAATATATCCCATTTTCCAGAATTTTTCAAAGAGCTAAATGCCAGTTTCTATTGGTTAGACAAGAGTACAGCTTGGTAATAGTTTCTAATGCACCTAACGTACAGTTTTCTATTCAACTAACAGCATGGATGACACTATACAGACTATTTTCAAATCAATTATCTCGTATGGATCCATGTGAACGACATATCCACGATCAATACCAATAAGTATCAATCCCAACCTTGATATCTCGTCTGATGCTTGTTCAGCTGACATTCAAATTTATTTACATCATAGAAAACAACTTCCCCCAACTTCTGTGATCTCTTAATCACTCGCATAGGATGCGTGTTGAAGTAGAACAACTCTGTCTGCACAAAAATGATGGGAACCCGTCAAGCATGTAAACTAGCTTGCCAAAAAAGGCATGGACACATGGAACTTTGTCCAAGATAAAGAAAATTACAAAGAATCCAATTTTATATACGAAGTAGCGCATCAAAGAAGCACGAATAGCCTAATCAATCCCCAAATTGGAATGCAAGGAAGAAATGCCAAAGGAACAAAGGTTCCCTCACAAAATCAAGAAGTTGAAACACGAATCAGACCTCTCCGACAATTCAAACAATTCAAGGGTACTGTGACATTCTCAGAGAACCAAAACAAAGGCAGCACATGCATAATTATTTACCTCCTTGAGCACATCTATATTTTTCTAAAGCTAGGTTAAAAATTCTTCTGCACAAGGTCTTATACAAGTCATTCGGAGACGCCCTATCTTACCGATCCGCATATGTGATACCGCAGTTGCTCTTTTACCATCCACCCTCACTGAACGTGTCTGAGTAGGATCAATCCCTGGAACTCATCAGCTCCCTGACCTTGCTAACTGAAAAGGCCTTAAGTGACTAAGCTGAGTGTTAAATTCCTAAGAACACGATGGCCTTGAGACCTGCAAGCCAAACTTCTGCTTCAACTTTGTCTTTGCAGATCTAAAGCGAAAAAGTAAACAATAGGCTATTTGAAGTCCACCATTAACAACCAC